TTAACAGTATACTGTGGCTCCTGGCAGAACTTGTGCAGAGACAAAGCGAGGTAAAATCGAACTTCGCCATTAAACGTGGGCTGACCAACACATCTAAGCATCTTACGCTTTGGCTAAGAACGACGACTTTGGTGTACGGACTCTACAGCGCCAGGGTGTTCGATTCTGTCGGACTGCGAGGCCGGCTTGAGCGCCGGCCAGAACGTGCGGCGCACTTCGCGCGTTACCTTGAACCGGTCAACTTCATTGCGCGTATTCTTGTCAGCTATCCGGACCGTCTACTATGCAATACACGTGACGAAGTCTGGCAGTTTTCACGCCTACAGTTGCGCCATATTTTCACGCATTACTTGTATGTACGCCGATACCCTCTCATGACCTGCGCTCATATATACTCTAGAGTGTGCGGTCAACAGGCTGGGAAGTTTTATCGCCAACTTCGCAGCCCTACTTCAGCCAATCTTCTTGCATTGCTCTATGAGGAGCTCGCAAATGTGCGATGCGATCCGTCGCATACGGATCTCACATCCCTTCTCGATATTGCCGAACAGATATCGCGTCCTGTCGATGGTATACAAGCGCAGTTAGCGTACGTCGGACGACTACTGGCTGGCTCCCCTTTACCATCAGCACTCGTCGACGGCCTTTCGCCAGAACAATTACACGCACTACGTCCGACGTCCTGGATTTGGCCCGAAAGTCGAGGCTTCTGTTCTTGGTGCCTCGTCGGACTCCCTAAGGCGCAAGATCGTCGATTATGTGCCGTTTGCAAACGCTCGGGTTATTGTAGCGATGAGTGTCAGAAGAGGTGAGCTCAGCATCGTGCTAACTAATGCGATGATAACCTTGTACTGTAGGGCTTGGAAGAAGGGACATCGGCAAGTCTGCCCAGTATATAGGCTTGCCGACGCGCGTATGCTGCTGCCGAGCATGAAGGCTCTGTTTCGCAAGCTTCCGCGGGGTATTTCGATTGGCCGCATTGGACAACGCGCCTAAAGCCATTCGTATTGAACTCATTCGCGGTGTACACATGCGCGATATTCGAAGCGCCGGACCCTCATCCAGACCATCTGCGAAGATGTCAGCCTGTTCTATACCAGCAGATTGTATAGGCAGTCTAGCGGTAGAAACACTTACTACTCCTATGATCGCCAGGTCTCGTCACCGAATGTATCACCCAGGTACCACCAATTTAGCGCATATGCGGTTTCCTGTTGAGAGGGGGTTATCCACGACACGATACCATCGTGTGGTGGATTCGCGACGTCTCTGAGGGCCATCGCACCGACAACAGCGACCACATCGCCGCAGCAGAGTCGTCGGCAGAATCGCTTTTAGCCGCTAAAACCTTATCGCCATTATAACCTATTTTGGGGGATCATATCCGGATTACAACCATCTTATGGCGATAATAAGAGCGCCACAACACGTACGAGATCATGAGCGCCCTGCGAAGACCCTCGCAAGGTATCCCCAAGGGCTGTAAGATCATGTAAGAGGCCATCCGGGTGGAGGGATGCTTGTCATGTAGAGTGCAACGCATGCAGTTCGCCGCGAAAGACGAGTCCAAGGCCTCTCGAAACTTGTCAGGTTATTAGGTTCGAATTCCCGTTTCGCGCGCACACACGGGTCGCCACTACCGCAAGGCCTGTTCCAGCGCTGGTCGCATTCAAGGTAAGTTCATTGGCATGTATGTGCAGGGGGTAGATATAGTACAGAATACTGGTACTAGTCTCGTGGGTATGAACTGTATCATGATAACTGACCGTGTATATGCACAATGATACCAGCATAATGTTCACGAAGATGAAGGGGGGCCGGGGGAACAGGAAGGTACGGGTTCACTGGGAGTCAGGCTCAGCAGCTTGACAGCTACATGCTGTGACCGCGCAGCAACACTGGGCGCGATGTGAGCGGCCGTACAGTATGTAGACTCGAATCAGTCCCGCTCCGCTCGAGCACTCGCGAGGAAGATCCGGTGCTGGGACTGGTTCGAGTCTATGC